AGAGAGAGAGAGAGAGAGAGAGAGAGAGAGAGAGAGAGAGAGCGCTCCTAAACAAGTCACTGGTAGGATCACTGGTAGGATTCCACAACTTTCTTTCTCCCATCTGGCTTAAGTAACTGCCATGAAGGCAATCTAGCAAGACTGATATGTACATATAAAAAGTCAACAAGTTACACAAGACCTGAGCTTTCACATAACACAATGAGCCTTTGTCTAAAACAAGACGAAAAGAACAAAGTATGCTGCATTATTTCACCCAGCCCTCAACAGTTGATTCCCGAATGCTCTTCCAAATTCTGAAGTACACTCTGGTAAGACACGTCTCAAAATCAATAGTGAATCTCATACAAATCAGAATAGGTCAATGGATCAATTACCAATGGCGATTTCACAATGCATTCACCCAGGCTATGCAAGCTGGTCACGTTTAATATCACCTGCTTAGAATTTGGTTGGTTGGTTTCCTTCAGCTATTTGAAATGACACAGAGAATTCCCACATATGAAGCTGCTAAGCTTATATATTAATGTGATTATCTTTCTTTCATAAATGCCCAACATTTTGATAGTAACCTTACCTCCAACTTCTTAATTGGCAAGGGGTGCAAAGAGGCCTCAAAAGTTTAAAAAAAATCCCAACAGAAAAGCAACTAACAACAAATGAACTGCATTTTTGAACAAGATCACAATCCAGTTTAAAAATCTATCCTTTATAACAAAGGTTGTCATGAGGCTTCTCTTACCATGAGTCTAAAAACTGTGACTACAACTTCTCACCCACCGAATCACCAAGACTTCTGATGGCATTACTTACCATCCGTGACCTGAGTGGGAATTCTCTGAGAGCTTTGCTTTCATACCCGAATGAGGGCGGCACCACAGAGGGGGCAGCAAGGTGTTCAAACTGTCCTGACTCTGGTTTACCCTCTGAAATCTTACTGACCCAATGCCCTAGGCTGGCCCTAGAAGGAGCTCAGGAATGGTTCAGCATTCACAGAGGTCATCAGAAGAGGCGTACACAAGAAAGCAGAAGGAGTTGTTCCCATTGCACTTACCTGCTGCATGCACAAAGTATGCCAAATATAAATCGAGTTCCTTAACAGAAACCCCTATGTGATGGGGCTGGACACAGAGCCCTGGATTTGAGCACTGTGGGGACTTTACAAGGCGCTCGCCATCAGTACTTTCCAGCGGAATACCTTTGAACAAGATCACCATGACGAGGTCCAACCTCCACACTTTATCTGCCTGGCGGAGGCAGTCAATTCTCCGCATCTTGCCTTTCTGGTCTGGGTTGGAAAGGACACAACATGGAGGTTTTTTCCCTGTAACTGTAAGAACAAAATCCTCTCGGTACTCAGGCCGGATATCTTTCCGTAACTTGGCCAGCAGTCGGGAAGCCCACTTCTGCTTGACTTCAGGCTTCTCACTTAGCAGTTCATCCTTCACGGCCCTCTCCTCTTCTTTCGACATGCGCTTCTCGTGTTTTTTGAAGTATTTTCGCTTTCGGGCCTGCAGGTTGAACCATGTGTAGGCGAAGGCGCGGACGTGGGGCAGAAGTGCTTCGATGAAAGGATGAAACTCATCCTAGGGAAAAGAATAAAAACAAAAATACGAATACGACCAACACAAAAGGAGACCACTTGCCTCTGGGAGTTGTCCTAAAGATATCCTTCACTTCACATGAAATGTGGCCCAAGTATTATATTACCTTTAAAATCATATGTAAAATCCCTAAGGGCAACCGAGGGGAAGGGGAACACTCTCAGCACCATTGCCTATGATCTGAAAGGAGAAAACTGCTAAGAATTTTTCAACATTTTGGTACGTTCCATCGTGCGGCCTACTTCCCAAATCCTTTACAGAGCAAGCAGAGTTTACCGAAACACTTATAACAATATATACTCTTAACCCTATTTCAAGGAGGCCATATCTAATTTTGTCCCAGCCTTGACCTCACCATTTGTAGTGCGGCCAGGACCCGGCAGCCAGATTGGCAAATCCTAAACACTCAGGTGCCAGTCAATGTTGATGGAAGTCTAGGAGCAAGACCCATCTCTACCGTCAATGAAAACAAAGGCTTCTCCTTTGCAGAGTCCGTGAAGACTCTGATCTGCCTCTCATGTAATTTTGGTAATATCTTAATTACTCTTCTAAATATTATAGTTACCGATAATTTTTTTTAAAAATAGAAAAAAATGTGGCAGGTCTCTACAGAAAAGAAGGGATGATTTGATATTCATTTGGCTAAAAAAAAAAAAATCTATGCCCAAGAAATCATAACTGAACTATGGGAAGAGAACAAAAAGGGGGGGGCACACCAAACAAAGCAGAGTCCCAGGCCCAGAGTAAACAGGGTGCCTCACTCAGACAGTACTCCTGCAACTGAACACATTTAGTGGCTGATAGGACGGTGGAACACCCTCAAAAGCAACCAGCCCTATAAAATGCATCATCTCATTTTTTTAAAATAATATTTCAGCTTTTTCCTCATTAGCAAACAGGGGACTCAAGGAAACCCTTTACAGATCTCTCTTTAAAAGTCAGATAATTGGAAGAGAAAAATGAATTTAAAGCATTTAAAATTTTCTTTCTGGTTTACTTAAAAGTATGTGATTCTTATGTTGACGTTGGTTAGAAATTTTAAGTATAAAAATTTTTAAAAAGTTAAACAATAACATTCACAAATGCTCAGAGAGGACATCCAACTCTTGATTAACTAGGCCACACCAATTTTATATAACGGCTTTCTGCCACAAAGATAAATTATTTACTTTCAAATAAATGAAGATAAGAAAACTAGAGGAATATGTGGTGACTTTTTAAGAAGAGTTAAGAGTGTATAAATGTAAATATATTCCTTTTTTAACATTTCTTATAGCAACCTTAACATTCTTGAGGTACAAGAAACTGCAATACCAAAAATAGTGTTGCTACTCAAGAAATTAAAATTTTAAACATTCAAATGTATACTGAAGGTAATATATTTTAATAGTCAAATCTGTTAATTTTTTACAAATTTTAATCAACCATGTAAACATTAGATACAGTAGGATTCTTTAAAGTAAGTGTATAATCATATAATGCATATTTAATTGTTACAATAATTGGCCTTTTTTTTCTTTCTGCACAAATTTTAGACTCCATGGCTCAAGTTCAGTTTTGAAACTTGCTCTTTTTCAAAAAAGGAATAAAAGAAGTGCTGAGCTTTGGTTAACATGTGTCCATTCTTCTAGTAGGGAAAAAAGAGTAAAATTCAACAATTACATTATTCTTTACCATAAACCATTAGCATTTTAAAACTGTGTAATATTTAAGAATCTTTATTCATTTGGAAGGAGAGCACAGGGGGAAAGGCGCAGTTTATCCGCTAAGGTACATGCCAAACCACAACGCATTTAAACATTTCTAAATTCTGAGCTCATCCTTGAAATGTTCTGAAATACATAAATGTTATGTATTTCATACTGACTGACGTCCAGATGTATACAGGACATACTAGAGACTAAGACTCCGTGGCATTGTGGAAAGAATCTCTGAAGTCGACCTTAAACTACACAGTGAGCCTTCTCCAAAAGGAGGCTTTCATTTTTAAAGACTCAGCTCCATTTTATAAGGCAAATAGCTCCAAATACATCATATCTATGCTAAGGCATTACCTTGTTAATGATAATGAACATGTTAAATAAACATTCTAATGTGGTTATTTTATACGTCCAAAGATACTCCTAAAATACTTCTTAGAAACTGACAACTACATCAGTTCACGTTCAGAATCATTGCGTTCACCTGCCAACCAAACGCCCAGAAAAAAAATCTGAAAATAAGGTCAACTAGTCCTCATGGATGATCTATATCCACCAGCTTTGCATCAGAGGTATTTACAATGTATTATTCCCCAAAGGTTTCTAGAATGTAAATAAAAATACACAATATTTTATATAACTTTACTCAAATGACAACCATACTTAGTCAACGTATTGACAGAAATATCTCCCAAAGCATCCAAACTTAAAAAAAAAAAATTACAGGAAATGTCCAAAAAAAGCTAAATGTTTCGGGGATGGGGGTAATGTTCTCATAAGTCAAGCTCCTCAACAAAACACCATAAACTGTGTAATATTTAGAAAAAATATTCAAGAGAAAACAAGTAATATTGTACATACATAGGTGATGAGAATGTTACAGCCCACCAATAAAAATAAACCTGTGGACCTGCTTCAAAGCCGCATTGCTTTGAATCGGCATCTAAAATGTGGATCTGTTTGAAAGCAGGCCAAGTTTAAGAGCCACAGAATAGTGGTAGTGCTGGAAACTCCTTTTTTTTTTTTTTTTTTTTTTTTTTTTTTTTTTTTTCAAAAGCGTTACTCATAAATTTCTGCTGAACTGTCAGGATTTAGGCAGGTACAGGAGTTGATTATGATATGCCCATCCTCAATCAAAAGAAGAGGCCTGGCATTCTCAAGGTAAAACCCCTTCGAAGTACACACAGCAAACTGAGTCTGCTCTTACAGTTAGAGTACATTTATCACCATGCTTACTGGATCTTTTTATTTTTTTTTAAATGAGCAATAAACGACCTAAGTTTTTCTTTCTGAAACTGGCTCGAACGTGTTATAAATATTCCAGAAAGTTAAATAAATTGTAAATCAACTTTTAAAGACCCTCTCATAAAACAAATGAGCCTTTATTCCCTGTTTATTGTACATTTTCTTCACAAACTGCTACACCAAATAAGCGTTTCTCTTAGTGGTGTGGAGGCCTAGTGAATGCATCAATCAGTGCTGCCAAGAGTGTAGGAGGGGGAAAGGGGAAGAAAAAAACTTTCTTAACGTGATAATAACTCAAGAGAAGCCAACTTTGTTAAATACCTAACTACGCCTGGGGCCTGCATGGATACACAGGTATGCTCCCGAAATGCACAGCCCCAGACCAGAAGTTTTATCTTTTCAAATCTCACTCGAGAAGATAACCGTTGTGTCCATAAGGGTCTTTCTTTGCTATTGCAGCATGCTGGTATTATCTACAAGTTCTACGTGTTGCAAACTTTTGCCAATTGGAATTTCAGCCTTCGAATCTCAGCACTTTCACTGCAGACTATAATTCATTCAAATTATCTTACACTTTGCATCTTATCCATATGCAATTGTGAACCTTGCCAGAAGTGGTTGGAAAAGTTTCATTCCATACTTCCACAAGTTACTAAAATAGTAACTTTGGAAGTGTGGGGGGGGGTGGACTTTTACAATAACTAAAACAACTGCTATCCATTATTAATGTGAGGCCTAAATCCCAAACAGACCATCTCCACATAAAAGATGCATTTAAGAGTCTTCTGAGATCAAATAGCCAGTGTTATTACTGTTAGATACTGCAGTAAGAAGGGAAGTCATGTGGGAAATAAATCCAGAATCTAGAGGGGAGAGGAAAAACTCCTGATACTTTCAGCCTTCCAAAGTATTCCCGGTAAACCGTTAGCTCCAGCTCATTGAAGGCACAGTGGTAGCAGGGTTTTGAGGGAGGCATGAATAAACCTTGTGCTCGAAGCATATAACTTCATGTAGGTAATTACTGATCAGACTGCAATGTTTTAAAGCAGTATAAAGACTCACGCTTAAAAAGAAAAATTAGCGCAAATCACTCTGACTTTATGCCTTTTAGTCAGAGAAAATAAATAATATATTCAAACGGGACCAGATCCGGAGCCGCAAAATAGCAGTGTTTCCTTGCCCGTGGTGCAGACAAGAACGGGAGGGATGAGCTGGGAGGCTCGAGCAGGAGGGGCGGAGGGGCTCTAAGCCCCACGCTGCGAGTGGGGTTTCAGGGAAAGTTGCCGGGTCCTGCGTGCTGAGCCGCCTGGGCCGTGCATAGGCGGCGGCAGCGGGGCAGCCGACTCCGGG